GCCGGGAGAGGTCATATAAGGATAGAGACCCTGAGTCTACTCTAGACTGCAGCGAGGGCTAAAGAGGCCCCAAATGTCTGGCACAGGACCACAGTGAGGAACTTTTTGGGTAATAAACACCACTACTTCATAACTGGGATGTAACAGATTTATAGTTCGTAACTGGTACTTCTAGAGTCCCCAAGACAATATGAGCTGATTAAATTGTACTTGAGTATGGGTCTGGTAAACTGTTTACACAAGCCCTTTCTCAAGATGGGGGCAGCAAATGAGAGCCTAGAAAACACTGGAAGTGAACCTAGGAGCCGGTCAACTTTCCCACTTATAATGTGGGGAGATGCAGGCCATCCCAAGGGCCCACTAAGGGAACAAGTCCCCGAAGTCTACAATGACCTAAGGTAAAGCCAATTAGTACCCAGTCTTTCTCCCTGACACAGGAAGTCTCTGGAAGACACTTCAGCCTTGTTAACCCTCATATCCAACCTGAGGCAGGTCACCTATCCACCAGCAGAAAGTTACCACCCAAGGACCACACTTTTTTCTTTTATGTAGATGTCCCAAGTGTTTCCAGATTAACGGGTATCTCTGGTGTATCTGATGTCAAGCACTTAAGTGCAAATAGACCTCTATCTCAATTCATCAGTTAGAGAACTCTAGTCTAAAATGATCTACTAAAAAAAGTACTCTCAACAGCTGGCTCACCTAAGGTCAACTCATTCAGGCCGAAATTTCAGTAAACTAACAAGCCCAAGACCACAGAAACTCCAGCAACTCTAAGAACCCAACATGGTGCCTATTTACATAGTGACAGTTAATCTCCATCAATGTGACTGAATTTCACATCACTTAGGATTGCCTGTGAGTGGTAGTCACACTGGTAGAGCTCTTCCTGCCTGGCATGCCCATGGCCTGGATGGGGTTCTGTCATCAGTACCCAAGAGCAGCTGCACATTGAGATCAACTAACATCAGTGAAGCGTGCCTCTCTGGCTATGTCTGTGAGTGCCATTACAGGGTCAGCAGGAAGAAGATTGCTCTGAACGGGCAGTACCATCTCTGGAGCTGGGGATGCAGCACATATAAAAGGGGAAGGGAAAGCTAGCAAAACCAGGCCTTTTTGTTGTTGCTGTTTTTTGTTTTCTCTATGAAACAGTCCTAGCTGTCTTGGAACTCACTCAGTAGACCAGGCTGGCCTCTGCCTGGGATTAAAGGCGTGCACCACCACGGCCCGGCCCTCTTCTACTTCTTACCCAGGAGGAAGGGAATTTTCTCTGAAACTGTTGAGCTAAAATCTTGTCAGTTTATTTCAGCAACAAAATTTCTGAGTAACACTATACATTTCTGAGAGATTTCTAAAAGCTGTTGTCAGGAGACAGTTTATGAAAATGACTTACAAAGGCTGGTTGAATAGGGCTCGTCTGCAACCCCAATGCCCAGGAGGCTAAGGCAGGAGAATCATGGCTTCTAAGCTAGCCTGAGCTATATAACAAAGCCTCTCCAACACCAGAGGGAAGAAGTCTATTGCAAAGTTGTCCTCTCTTCCTGGAGGATGTAAATCTATTCCTTCAGCTGGTGGCTTCCAGTACATTCAAGACTTTCATGGCTGGGGCTTGTGAACACTATAAACAAGTTCGAGGTTTAAAATCACCATTAGTGCAAGTTCATGTGGAATATCTGGGGGCAGTCTGAGTGCTTCCTCAGTTTGAATTTCCTTGGGCACCAGCACAGCCTCTCAGCTGACACTGAAGCCCACGAGGCATGAGGGTACAAACCTGTAATCTCAGCAGTCAGCAGGTCAGGAGGCCCAAGTGCTACATGGTCTACAAAGTCCCCATCTCACAAAATTCCTAACTTCCAGACATAGCATTGTGGGTTAAAGGGCTATTGGGCCTTCAGTTCTTCCACTGTGGCCCCCTTTAGTGCCTGGCTTCCTACATTCTCCCTGTCCTCCTTCACTCGTTCCCCAGCTTGGAAACTTGAAAACTTCCTTCAGCCCATGTATACAGCTTATCACCGAAGCCTTGTTTTTTTTTTTTTTTTTTTGGTTTTTCGAGACAGGGTTCCTCCGTGGCTTTAGAGCCTGTCCTGGAACTCACTCTGTAGACCAGGCTGGCCTCAAACTCACAGAGATCCTCCTGCCTCTGCCTCCCGAGTGCTGGGATTAAAGGCGTGTGCCACCATCGCCCGGCTAAGCCTTGTTTCTTTAATTTGGGTTGTTCCGTCTCTAGTTTTTCATTATTCGGGGGAGAGGGGAGGGAAATGGGAACATTTGACTAGAGGTAGCGGTAGTTTTTACTTGTACTATGAGTTGAGTGTATGCAGTCCTGCTACATCATCAGAGCCCAGCTATAGGCCCACAGGCCCGTCCTGAGAGCACCGTCAGATGGTCTAAGGTCAGTGTGCAGGTGATGTACTTCGGAGATTCATACTGTAGGGTAGCGGTCCCCAGGTCAAGGAGCAACCCTAGGCACGTAAGGTTAGAAAGACTCTACGGTCATCTCTCACCCACAGCAGGACCTACGTGCTGTTGAGAATCCTTCTGTCTCCTGCCACTTAACAAGAAATGTCTACTTAGGGCCTGATCTTAAATGTTACAAGGAGTTAGTAGGTTTCTGAGTTCTGTTAGGCTATACCAATCAAGGAGGCCTACATTTGTCCAGATCAGAAGCTTTCAAAACTCCCTCAGTTTAGTACCTGCGCGGCGGGGTCTAGGTGCTTGACCCGGGGGCTGGCAGAGCCGGGGGTGGGGGGGTGGGTGCCTTCGGGCAGAGGCGGACCCTTAGTGCTGTGAAGAGTGATGGAACCAGGAACTAGGGCACAGTGATGCTCCCACCTTAGCTGCTGTCTATCCTGATGCTGCCGAGATCGCAGGTGCCTGCGCAGGAGGCCTGTGGGCCTCCTACCACCGATTCATGGATAAAGTGGAGTTGTTGCTGCTGGAGAATTGAGGCCACTATACAACCACCTGGCAGGCCCAGAACAGTTTTTTTTTGTTGTTGTTTTGTTTTTTTCTGGGCTCCAGTAATAAAATGGGGATTAGTGTGTGGATTAACTGACAAGGCCAGACCTTCAGAGAAACTCAGCACAGCTCAGTCCACCGTGCTGATGGCTACAGGGTCTATTTGGTCAAGGTACTCACTTGTAATTATACCCAAAATTGGAGTTCGCTCGCTGTTAATTTCTTTATGGGGTCAGCAGGAGCCTCTCAGTTGTTTCGTATTTGGAGATATAAGCAAGAACTCAAAGCTAAAGGAATCCAGTAGGAGTTCCTGATCACCCGAAACATCCAGATGTGGACAGAAACACTGGGACCTAGTTTAATTATTGATAAGGTGATGCTAACTGTCCTGATAACATTTGAAAAGAATGAAAAAGAATCTAACTGTAATTAATAGCTAGCACTTGACTCCACAGAAAAATAAAGCAAACTTTTAATAACAGTCTCTTACATGATTCAAGGAACGTACCTATGAATAGCATTATTCGCTACCACTTGTCCATAATAAATCTTACTTGATTATATATATAAAGAGCCTCAGCTTAGATAATGCTCATTATTGTTTTGTTTTCTGTTCTACACACTGGGCTTCCGGCCACCACACTTTAGAAGAAACAGTTCTGCTGTGAGATGGGGGGAAACCCCACGCTGACCTTTTGCTGTCTAAACATACATGAGAATTCCCCATTTCTTCATTACTTTAACTCACCCATTTGCTTGTAAGGTAGAGAAGGAAACAACCACAATCTTAAAATATAGTCTTTACTATGTTAATTGAAACCTTAGCTCATTTCTTAGGCAGTTTTTGAAAGAGCAAATACATAGAAATACCTTTGCTCTGCAACCACTGAGATCCTCTTCTTTGGGCAAGATATGTACTTGGGATCCCTGGCCTTGGAAAGCCATCATGTCTGCCACATCACCTCACGTTACTCTAACCGGGACCCTGATCTCCCCAGACCATCCTGTCTTCGGTCTGGTATTAAGGTTATATACACATTTATAATTACTAGTCCAAATGAGGGTCTAGGCATTCCAACTGTTTTTTGAGACAAGGTATATGTAGCCCTGGCTATCCTGGAACATAACATGTAGACCAGGCTAGTCTGTAACTCAGAGATTCACCTGCCTCCCAAGTGCTGGGATTAAAGGCTGATGCCATTTTGCTATACTCTGTAGAGCAGGGAGTGGTTCTCAACTTTCCTAAAGCTGCGGCTCTTTAGTAGTTAACTCGTTGTGGTGACCCCCCGACCATAACATTTTTGTTACTACTTCCTAACTGTAATTCTGCTACTGCTATTAATTGTAATGTAAATTGTTGGGGAATATTATTTTTAGATGCAAGTTTTATTTATGCTGTATTTACCTGATGGGCCTAATAAAGAGATGAACAGCCAATAGCAAGGCAGGAGCAAGAATAGGTGGGGCTGGCAGGCAAAGAGTGTGAGAGAAATCTGGGAGAAGAAAGAGGCAACAAGAGAAGAAGGAGAGGACACCAGGGGTCAGCCACCCACAGAGTAAGAAAGAAAAAAAGACGGTAAAGGGCCGAGGCAAAAGGTAGTAGGGATAATTTAAGCTAAGAAAAGCTGGCTAGAAACAAGCCAAGCTATGATCAGGCATTTATAAGAATAAGCACGCATTCATGTGGGATTTACTTGGGAGTTGGGTGGTGGGACCCCCAAAAGCCAAAAAAGCAAATCACATACCGGTAAATATTTAATATGCAACCCCTGTGAAAGGGTCATTTGATCCCCAAAAGGGTCATGTCCCACAGACTAAGAATCATTGCTCTAGACTGTTAACTTTATATTGCACTTCTTCACATTAGGGACCATGGTTTGGTTGTATGGGGACGGTTCCCTCTTTCCTCCACAGGAAATGCCAGATCTGAATAAGCCATTAACAGCAGGGTTGACAAGGTCTGACTCAAGTGTTTTGATAGATACATAAAGACATTCCTGACCAAGAGCGTCTTTCAAACACGAAGGAAAGAAACACACCAAGCCACGTAAAGATAATTTATGTACATTTATGGCTTTATACAATTATAGTAAAGATTGTTCTTGTATCTGTAAGTACATCATCATCATCAGGCACTTCTCAGATAGTATTGGAACAGGACCATGGAATCTGCACGGTTACTCAGTCAGGTGTGGGAGGGTGTGACTATCCTGATGGAACTTACATGGCTACCGCTGGCCGCAGCGCCAGGCTGCTCTGTGTGCATCAACCATGATGCACATGACACTGAATGATCACTCCCCAGTTGAAGCCAGAGACAATTTTCACTTAAGAGCTGTTAACTAAGAATTCCAAGGTGTTTTTTTTTGGGGGGGGGGCGCATATATTCAGCAGTTGAACAAGTTCAAATTGTACACCTTTGGGGAACGGTTTCCATTTTAAGTGTCTTTATCCCTTCTTGTTATATTCCAGGATTCGCTGTATTTGGTAATTAATTTAGACTCAGTTTGTCCCAACAGAACTCTCCATGTCATACATTTATCACTCAAATATATTCCATTCATCTACGTTATGGGAACAATACATCTTTATATTTAAAATATCCGAATAGCTCTATAATACAATATGCTTTGAATAACAGTACAAACCAAAGGAAATAAATCAACCAAGGCTGCAAAGGTGAAATCATTTCACAAAGCAATCATGTACAATAATATACCAGGTACTCTAGAAAGTGAGCATTCGTACAGAAAAGGACTCCCAGAGGCCACACAATGTTTGTTTTTAAGAGACACAAAGTCTTTCCTGGACTTCACTGTACCCCAGAAAACTACACATGATTCATTCACGTTATGATCTTAACATTAAGGAAGCTGGGGGCTGAGATTTATGCAGCTTCAGGAGGAAGACAAGCCTCCAAGTCACTCAGCAACATCCCCAAGTCTACCACTGATTATTACGGTTGTAGTCACCTCTGTGTTGAATGATTAAATGCAGAGGCTCTTTCTGCAATGAAGAAATGGCAGAGGAAAGAGAAAAAGTGAGACCTAAGTTCTTTGACACCACTGAGTTCTACTCTGACTGGAGGAACTAAGGCTTCTAAAATGAGCCCTGTTTTAGAGTGCCGAACCAAGATGATGATCAGAGGTGCAGTAGTCAAAAACAAAACAAAACAAAACAAAAACAAAACAAACAAAAAGTCCCAGCAGGAAGCTTATGACAAAGCTAACCAACAGTGAAAATCAGGAATATCTGTTTTCTTGTTAACACGCACAGAAGAAATACTAAGCAAAAGGGGAGGTAAATAACACGTTAAAAACCAGCAGATCTGATTTGGGCTTTGTACACAGAACCAGGCCTTCTCAAGGCAAAGAGGAAAGCTGCTGTACACATATTCCTCAGTTTGCAGTAGCTTCAGGCACTCAACAGGACTTGGAAATGTTGATGGATGGAATGGGAGGCAAAACCAATTATTCTGGTCTTTCAGTTACAGGTAACGAGAAAGTATTAAAGTTTAATGTTTGAGATACAAGTTAGGCTGCTCAAGGCCAAAAAACACCTCTCAAATTCTTAAGAGTTCAAAATAAATGTACACTTATACTGGTTGGCTTTCGAGTTTATTGTCTCAATTTTTAACTAGTTCTATGCCATGTGGTAAAGAATACAAAGCACTACGTAAATCACCCAAGTCCTGTTTTCAAACGTCCTCCTTAGGTGTACACTGTTTAGAGCCAGCGAACAGGGACGGAGACTGAGAAGTGACATGATTCTTTCCAACCTGGATAAAAACCAAGAGCTCAGATGATGAAGAAAACCCCAGCTAGACAAAGGAACGTCATTCTAGGAGAAGTTCTCCTTTCCTGGCCCACAGACAGGAGGCTTCCCTGAAGGAACAAGGCATCAATCTGCTGTGGCCTCCCCTCGGGAACTGTGACAATGTGACACAGGGCATCTGTTTGGAAGGGCCTACCCGGAGCAGCTCTAAGAACGTGACATGGGACACCCACCTCAAGACTTGCTGCTATGCGCTGCACACAATTCACTGGGTAATAGGAGCAGGTAAAAGTTCTTTAAAATACACACATAAAAACATATTAAATTCTTCTACATACAAAACACAAAGTATATGTAAATATACATCACTTTCCTGCTCAAACAGGGCCAGAAACATTGTGTATGCAAGTACTAATTACAATGATTTAGGATTAGTCAGAAACATCATCAGGTAGCATCTCAAAGTGTACAAACCAGTGAAGCACGTATAAAATTAGTACTAATCCAGTTAGAAATACAAAGTGAAAATTATGAATGCTGCCCCCAAATACCTTTGATTTCACAAATTTACAAGCAGACAATGTAACAAAGTAGACTCTAGTTTTAAGAAAACATTACAGTTCAATATCTATTCCAAAAATGATCAAGTCCTAACAATAACATCAAAAGTCATTTATCTGGAAATTAGAACCATTTTAAGGTGTTTGTACAAATTTGCAAATAACAAAATAAACAACAACAAAAATAATAGAAAAGACCTGTACAAAGCTGGCACTTAATCTTATTCTGCCCCAAAGTTTCACAAGTCCACTTATTCAGCAGATTGATCACAGGCTACTTGTTTCTCAACGAATCCTGTGGCAAGATGGTAAGTCATTCAGCAGAGGTGCAGAATGGAGATCTTAGTTCGTGATTCATCACTTTCGCAGAACACAGGTAGTACAAAGCAAAGTTTATCAAGACATGAGACCATCACAGTATTACAAAAAGAGTATAAACTTTCCTTGGACCAAGTAGATATTAAAAATACACACACACACACACAAATACAATTCTGTGTCTACTGCATATATACAAAACTTGAAAGCACGCCAGGATCTGAGTCTTTTCTGCAATTACACGGTGTAGTGAGTTTGGCACGTCATTGCAATGGTTCCCAGCGGCACAGTCCTTATCTGCAGGAGCACATAACCTGCAAGCGCTGGGCAAACATCCTGTACAGGAAGGTGGCTCTGCTGCCAAGTCTGATGAAAGGAAAAAAAGGATTTTTTTTTTTTTTAAACCAAGAAAACTAAAAGGAGGGTGAAGGGCATCTTTGGACTGCTTCTCTCAGTTCCATCTGTCAGACACTCTGCAGTACTTTTAAACGTAGCCTAAGGGGAAAAACACACACAATGAAAATATAGTCAAATTTAATTCAATTGTATTTAACCAATAGAGTAACAGGCACACTTAGGGGTGAGGGAAGCTTCAGCTTCCTCAAACAGCTCCAACATCATTAAACAGGGGGAAATTCCTCATTATTAAAAAAGGGGGGACCTTTGACATCTGATTTGTAACAAACTTGTTCATTTATTCAAGAGCTGGTAAAAAGAATGCAGACATCGAGAAGTGAAAAGAAAATACAAGCTATCAAAGGAATCTGCACTGTATTTTAGCCTCATAAGGGAAACTGCTAAGCTGGGAGGGTGGTGGAGGATGGTGCATATGCTTCCCGGCATGCATAGTTAAGTGACATTGAAAAAAAACCCAACATGATCCCAGGGAGTAGTTCTGCCGGAGTGCTGTCCTGGGTTAGAGCCCCAGCACCACACAGCCCAGGCATGTGGAGATGTCCAGATACAGAAGATGCTGTCTTTATTTTTAAAGAGTCTAACCATGAAGACATGGGTAACTGTGTCCCTCTTTCAAGTCCTTTAGATACCAGAGGGAATGAACTTACCTGCTCGCTAACTCTTAGCCTGACACCCAGCTGTGTGTCGTAGTCTTGACACTGTGTGGGAAGCTTTGGTTGGGCAACACATTATCAAAGTTAAAATCCAAGGTATCTCCATCCATGAGGTCATTCCGAATGATGGACTCCATGTCACAGTCCAAGTGCTCGATGAGCACTCCATCCAAGTCACTTGGGAGCTTCTCCTGGTGGAGGACACCCATCCTCCCATAGCCATTGCAGCTGCTCACAGAGGAGTACCCACCCAGGGCATTCATCTGCATGGGGTGGGACAGAGGCACTTGTAACGGTGTCTTCACAGCGGTCAAGCGGTTCATGGCAGGCGTGTGAGGCATGGGGTTCACCCCGTGGGGCAGGGCGCGCCCATTGACTGAAGATGTTTGCTGTGAATGTCCAGGGTGGGTGTGGGAACTGGGGTTCATCATTTTGTTATGAGATGCCTGGCTTCCATAGGCTGGCATGACTGAATTAGGGCCCATCATCACATTCTGGCCCAGGACCCGAATGTTGGGCTGGGCTACTCCAGGATCAACTGGTGACATGATATCACCGTGGGGAGGAGAGTCAGAAGTCAACAGCTCTTTTAAGAGTCCTGGTGCACAGTTATACTGGTTCAGTCCTCCATAACTGGATTTGCTGTCCTGAAGAGTCTGCATGGGCATCTGGGGCAAGGAGCTCATGCTGGACTGGCCATACGTGTACTTTGAGTAGTTTGGGCTGGGTGAATTCAGACTGGTGTTTGGCGGTGCAAACGAATAGCAAGGTGTCTGCTGCATCATGCTGCCAGGCGAAGACTGGGTTGATACAGTTAAAGGCGTTGGGGATGACAGAAGATTGAGATTATCCAAAAGGTTTTCCATGTTTTCAGGATTGCTGATTTCAGACAGACTGGGCAGAGTGGAAGCCATCTTTGCAGCAGAAGGTGGATATACCAGAGAATGCACATCCCCATCTCCTAGGTCATCCTGTTCCGTCATGATGGGAGAAAGCCTCCCACTGATCGTACTAGCATTTGAGCTGGTTCGAGGACGAAATGTACTCCAGTTATCAAAGTCATCGTTGCTATGGGACCCAGGACTTGCAGGCCATTTAGAAAACTGAGACCCAGGGCTGTCCCCGGGACCCTCCTGCCCAGACTGGAGGGATGCTTTTTTCTTGGCAGCTCGACCCCGGCTCTTAGCAAATTTACTGTTGTTGTCCATGGACGCAGCTCTTCTCCGAGGGGATTTTCCACTCTTGCCTCCCTCTGGGTTGAGCATCCACCAAGAACTTTTTCCAGTTCCTTCATTCTGTACACGGATAAACTTACTGTGAAGGGACAGGTTATGACGAATTGAATTCTGTAAAGCAAAACAGTATGTTAGAAGGATGGCACTCGCCGCTTGGAAAACGTACCGTTCCACATGATCATCACATAGTTCCAATCTGAAAAGCCTAACAGTTCTTTACTTGTGAGGAGGGCAAATGTACCACAGTACTTATGCCAGAGCACGTATGTGGGTGGCAGAAGTCAACTTCACAGTCTCTTCTCGCCTGCCACCTTTACATGAGTTCTGAGGATCAACGCAGGTCACGAGCTAGGCTTGTGCCACAGGTGCGTCACCAACTGAGCCACACCACTGGCTCTCAACAGTAGAAATAAACTCACTAGAAAGGACCTCAAATTGGTGTACGAGAAATAGCATTTTTCTTTAAGGCATTATTAGTGCTTATGTCTTTAATTAAACACAATTGTGTTTTCTTCTATACAGATCAGCTACATTTCTTTTATATACAGTTTCCAAATCTATCTCAAAAAAAAGCCCTTTCCAATTTTTTTTTCATTACAAAGTGAGATATTTTATATCACTGGGCCGACAGAATCACAGAATGGGGAGAGAAAGCATGATCTATCCCCTCCCTGCTCGGGAACCATATTGCAGACAGACATTCAGCAAGCACTTGGGAGGAAAAGGTAGGAGGATTGTGAATCTGAAGCCAGTGAGCTTCCTCACAAGGCCCATTCCAAAAAACAAACAAAAACCCAAATAATTAAGACCTCAATTCATTTATACCTTGAGTCTTTGTATCAGACAAGTAAAAATAAATATAAAGAAAACAGTTATTCTGTTGAGAAAGTTAACTTGCCATAAAATGGAATGTTTAAATTCAAGAACTCCTCTAACAGAGATCAGGAAACCACCAGCTCCAGGACCTGTACGCAAGAGCGCACTTTTCCCAGAGAGACATGAGAGGAAGGAAGGTGAAGACGGCACCCTAAGTAACACTCCTCTGCTCCTGTTCAGTAGGGGTGAAACACACCCACAGCAAGTGTGTGCAAACTGCAAACACATGGGAGAATAAATGGGTCAGTCCCTTAGTCCTTAGATGAAGACGTGAACTTGGAGGAGCCTGTGACACCCACCTAGGGAAGTGAAAACACTTAGTTCAAGGAGGTAGCTCATTACTTAAGCTTTCTGCCCCAGCCCTGTCGCTAACTGTTCACCTGGCAGTCCTATTAGGTCCTGAGAGAGCTAATCCCAAATCCAGGAACAGGACTCTGGGCACCTCACAATCTTCAAAGTAGAGCTATGCACATGGCTACCCACTTTTTGGCCTTCTCTGCCAACTGAGTGCAAGGCTTAGCTGCCCAAATACTCTGTGGCCCCTCTTGGACCACAAAAAGACTCTAACTAGATTTGTGGTCACCCGAGGAGGCAGCCACAATGCCCACATCCTCATGCTGTTGACCGGGAATGAAGGTGCTCATGTGCCAACCATTGTGCCAGAGCAGAACAATACAGGGGCAGACTTCCACATGACCCCGACACATTCACGTCTTTTCTCAACAAGAGGAGGAAAACAAAAGGAATGTAGTGGCAATCTTACTTTCTAAAGACAAAAGTCAGAGAGAGGCCCAAGAGAGCTTAGAAACCCACACTTAAAACGCATTCTGCACTACATTCCCCCCGAGGACTGCAACACAGCAGCTGTGTGTCAAGTGCTCTGCCAGGGTGCATGGCCTAACAGGAGCTTTCTGGTTGGATGCCAGGCAGATATGTAGGTATGTGGCGGTGGTAGTCAGTCTCTCTCTCTGCTCAGACTTCATTCTATACTCCTACTTGGGATCTCTCCCAACTCTAGGGCCTGTTAATGAGGGGACAGGTGCTGAACTCCAAACCTCTCCCAGAGAGATTAAGGGATACATTTCTTTCATGTTGTATCTCAATCCCATAATTTTCAAAAACCTTGCTGCCCCAATCCTCCCTGTCATCCTCTCCCCCACCCCATCACCCTGAGGTAGCTTTGGCTGCCACGACCACCAAAACTAGTGATCAAAATTCCCAATTCCTCCTTCAAAGCAGCAGTCTGCCTGGGGTGGGCTGGAAAGCAATTCTGCAATGCCGTCTACATGCTGGAAGTCTGGGCATTAGCACAATATTCCATCATGACAATTTCATTCTCTGAACACAATAGGCACACAGATAAGCTCTGATGAAACCTCTGGAGGAGAGGAAGCTTGACTCCTGTCCAGTCACATTTAGTTAATAACAAAGGAGTATGGGGGAGGAGATCTTCCCAGAGATCAGCTTCCTGACTGCCTGCAGCTAAGGGTGGGGGGGGGGGCAAAGCTCCATAACACCCAGGCCAGGACGATCCTGCCAGACCATGGCAAGCACATGTGAGGGAGGGGCATTCTCAACAGGACTGAAGAAGATATAATAATAATAAAATCTTCAAAATAAAAAAGTTTAAAAACAGTTCACTAACTTCTGGGTGAGTATCTACTAACTGCTTGGACTTATTTTTTTGCTTTTGTTTTGGTCATAGCAATCCTTTACTTATCAAAATATCATACTACATATTTTTCTGAGGACATTTTAGGTCACTCAGCAACAGAACTGTACACTAGCTTTGCCAACAATTACCCCCTTCCCCCAACAGGAAAAAAGTTTGCTCTGCAGGGCTTGTTACATAAATTCCTGTTTTTCATGCAGCCAGTGGGACATTAAAGAAGGGGCAGGGTTGGGGAGGCGCTGTGTCCACAATTCTCTGCTGAGCTGCCTGCAACCCTCAGAGCTGAGGCAGTGTGCTCTCAACACTGCCACAGTGAGAACCACGGATAGCACACTCACCCAAACCCTGGTTCTCTATGACACCATTAGACGGCTACGGCAGGCCATCTCCTCTGTATTAGCCAGTCTGCTGGCTTTCGGGGCACACTCAAGTCTCAGCCACATTCCTGGTGCTACCTGCGTGGCTGAACACTGCACGCAGCACGAGACATCCCAAGGAAGCCTGACACAAGGTCTGGCAGTAAGTTAGACAGAGGCCCTGGTGGACTCTGAGGCTCAACCTGTTCTGCTCTTGAGCATTCTTCCCTACACCCTACAGACCAGACTCCAAGTCCCTAAACACAAGAAGATTAAACTTAAGTTTGTAATCAAAGTCTTGAGTAGATGTTCTGCACAGAAGATAAATTCAATAAACCTTTGTTGACCGACATCCCAGAAACATTACAGGGAAGATGCGATGTCTCGCTGTTATCTCTTAGGCATCCACTCATGTCCTAAATTGTGACAGCTCATAGTATGGGGCTTTGTTTTTGCTAGAGCAGGAAAGGATGGAGGAAGGAAGGAAGACACGGGCTACCCTCCAGAGATTTTGTGAAGGGAAAGGAACAAGTAGGGAGTCATTTGACAACCTAGCAGATGCTTTCCAAAGAACTGTCTAGGAGTAGCAAACTCCCCCTCAGCTCTATCTCGAGGACAGTCCAACCCATTAAACAAGGTAGTGCATGTGAAGATGCTTGTCTCCATCCCAACAAATGAAGTTTACGCTACTAGAATAAGAGCATCTTTAGAATAATATGTTTTATACTTGTTTATATTATATATACATATCATATAATCTATTTTTCCCACTAATACAAGGCATTTATATATTATTTTCTGGAAATAGTAACTCGTGTTGAGAAAGGTTATGGTGGTCTTTAGACATTTCTACAGTACTTGTTGCCCCCCCCCCCCCCGGTCTGTGCTGAAAAAATTGCCCAGCCCTCTGTGTACCAGTTAAATTCCAAACTTTCTTACTGTTCACAACACAACCGTTACAGATACCCAGCAAGTCTCTACCTCCTCCTCCTGCTTCCTCTCTTACACTGTCTCTTCCTACACTTCCCAAGTGAAAACAAACTAAATTCCAAAAGCAGCAAAACTCACGATTCAGAGTTCCAATCTGAGTTACTAATAAAACGACTTTAAATTGTCTGGTGTGCTTGCAAATGAGAAAGAAGTCATGTGACATTTGCTCAACAGTTTGTGAGTATGTATGTGCATGTCTATCGATATAAATTGTCAACAATGTACACATAATTGGACTCAAAAATGTCACAATGGAAGATTTGCTATGGACAGTTAATCCATGCCTTTCCATAAAGATGATCTCATTTCCCAGAGCCTCTCCTCATCTGAACACTGCTTAAACCATTATCTGTCTACACAAACGTCTTGGCACTAGTCTGGTGATCCCAAAGCTCTCAAACTCATGGTCCTCAAAGTGCTAACACAAGTTAAAGGTGCTAACACAAGTCACCTGGTCTACACTCTCAGTGACCCTCTTATAGGCCATGAGAGGAGATGTGACTGGAGATTACCAAACTGCTGTGGATTCACATTTCCCTCTAAACTGCTTTATCTGGCTCAACTCATTCCACAGTAAGGAGAACTACTTTAAGGTAGTCTTCCTCCAACAAAGGATGTGGGAGAGTCTGCTGTCATGTAGGTGAGGGGACTCATGGGTATCGTGGGAAGCCTCCTGCACTTGGGGAATGCCTGATGAGGTAGAACCAGAGGTGCTGGCCCTGGAATTAGTCTGGACTAGGCAACCCCGGGTCAGTCAGTGGTTTCAGTGAACACTGGCTCTTAACATCTGTCGGTAGCCATGGCGATCAGAAGACTACCTGATATATTATATATATCAGAGTGGGCTAGTGTGCATAGAAAGAGCTTGAAATATCACTTTATACAAAGTGAGGGAAATAAACTGGCTACTTTGTTATAGGAAGTAAAGGAATATATAAACAGGAATTTTTAAGCCATCACAAATGGTTCCAACTTGATTAAGTCATTCATCACAAACTTCCTGTTTAACAGGCTTCCTCAGGCTTGTTTCCCTGTCCTCACAGCTGAACTGCAATCCTTGGGTTTTTCTCCTCCTTACAAAGATTGTAGATTTAATTCTAGTAGTGTTTAGCATATTTTGGTGTCTTTGGCAGCTTATATCAGAATGCCAACAAGATTGCTCCAGGAAAGGGAAGACAGGCTAGTTGACAAATCAAAGATCATAACTGAGATAGTAA